CTGTTCAGTTTGGATTGAGTTAATCTGAGCTTTGTTGGCTTGTTGGTTCACTTTAGGAGATTGAATGGATGAAACAAGTCACATCTGATAAGGACATGATTACAATGAGTTTGTTAAGGAAATATGAAACTGTATAATGTATATCAAAAGTTGTTTGAAAAGGAACTGAAGTTTTTATTTTGTTTTGTTTCTTGATTATTATTGCTTGAAATTAATTTAGGAAAAAAGGGGCAGATACAAGATTATTTTATCTTCTGCCTCCTTTCCTCTCCTTCCTTCAAGTGTGATTTGTTTTGCTGTTGTGTATAAGTTTTTTATTTTTATTTTTATATGAAATGAATAAATGAATTAAACAAATAAACCACTGGTGTAATTTTGATATTTTCGTTACTGGTGATGAATTAGTTCCAAAGTTGTTAAAGCTAAAGCAGCAGGTCTTTCTATTTTTGCTTTAATCTGTGCGGGTGTGTAAATCCTACTGATCTAATCCAATGTTTTATTTTGTTCACTTTGAAAGAACTAATTCATGACCCGCACATGCTGCTCATGTGATGGTTTCTTTTATGTGTTGTATGTTTACTGCTGATTTAATGCCAAATAATAGCTTCAGTAAATATTCTGGTGCAGAACCCCTGACAGCACATACCAACATGGATGGGTAGGTTTGAAAACCACACAGAGTTAAGCATTTAAAAACATTCTAGCAGAAAGCGGTATCTTCATGCTAACATGGGTCATGTGTTTTCAAGGTAGTATCTCACTGGTGACTGGTGGCAACATGAAGGGAGTCTCCAAAATGTCTTGAAGATTTTTCAGGGGTTCTCAGTTGTCACTTGAAATTTCAACATGTTAAAAAAATTGCCATACTTCCAAAGTGAGAACAAAGTGGGCTGAGGCAGTACAATGAGGGTTAAGGTAAGCCATAATATTATGTGCACAGCCTAGGAGGCAGTTTTGCAAGACATGCTCATAAAAAATGCTGTGATTTTCAAAAAAAAATAGCCACTTGAAACGTGGCCATGCAGCTTGCTGGTTACAGTTGAATTTAAGCTTTTCTCAAATAAAAGACTTTTATGATTGCTGCACAATAAACAATATTTTTATTCATTTTCGTAGGATTTGTTCATTTCCAAGTTGCCAACAGCTAATCCTCAAGTGTGCCTCAGATCTTTTCCTGGAAAAGCATTGGGTGTTGATACAAAAGAAAAAAAAACACACTACAGGTTTTACAAATAATTATATTTCACTATTTTTCCCAGAAAAACAGATGCTTGGCTGTTTCTTGAGTTTAACACTTACGCCAACACACAATACTAACTGGAGCTTCTAGCCCTCATACTTAACAGACACAGCAATCAATAAGGTGAAAAAAATACACAATAAAGGTCATATGGTCTTGATCGTGTTATTAACGCATCTGCTCCATGTGTTCAGTCATGTTTAATAACTTCAGTTTGTTCAGGCCCAGTTTTCCGTGTGCTTGTAAGCACGCCATATTCATGTCATTCAGAAACCACTTGTGTCTTTATACAAAATGTGCTGCACTGGCAATTAGTGCTAATAATTAGTTAAAATGCAGGCCATAGACACACATTTATCCAGCTCATTAAAGTCATAATTTAAGCCATAGGCCGCTGCATGTGAGTGATTCACTTTTTAATTCCTTTTCATGCTTTCTAAATCATGATTTACTCTTGGTGATTATTTTCCAAAAAGTAATCCTGAAAATGGTCAATTGAAAATGGACTGGCAGTCACTGGTTTACAAATTATTATTATTCTACAGAGAAATATGCTCATTCTGATAAAACCAAGGTCTATGTTTAGTCTAAAGTGTCTTGCTGATTAAAAAGTCACAAAAGCAAATTCTACATAAACCTGTAACAAGAAATCTAAGGCTTATACAGCAGCAGAAAGAGGCCTATACAGAGCAGTTAGGCATCTAAGACAAGTACTACTATTTTAGCACAAATGTGACATTTATGTAGGGGGTTCCACAGACTGCAAACAGGAATTCATAATCTTTCTTCCATGGTGGGCTGATGAAAACTTGAATCTGTTCACACATTCATCACTGCTTTTTTCTTAAAGTGCCTGCATTTCCTATAAATACAAAAAATAGAAAAAATATATATGTATATATATTTACATATGAAATTTGGCATAATACAGATGATTTTGCCCAGTTTGTCACATAATTGGCAGATTTTGGTTTTGAATTTGGCATGACCAGTGCAACCAGAAGTGACGACAAAGGGGAACTCCCTGGTTTTCTGTATTTGAGTGGAAAATGTGAAACCAACGAGCAAAGTTGATGTAAAATGTGTTGAAACAGTGTTGCTGTTGGTTGCAGCTAAACTGCAACAACAGATGTGAGTTTACACTGATTTCCCATGGATAGGAAGATAAGAACTGCTTGGTTCTTTGTGTTGTTCACCATTGTAGCAATGTTCTGATTACATGCAGGCGTTTTTAATTGTCATCACAAGAGTGCAAAAGAGCAGTCCGAGTCTACTGTTGTCCTTATTTGTATTTATCATAAAAATTATGTCTCAAGCACTTTAAGATGAATAAATTACCGTAGATTTTACAGAAAAATATTGTTTTCATTGGTCTGTTTGAACACAGCCTTTAAAAAAGGTACACTTTAATACAACCGATTTCACATCTGCCTTTTCACAAGATGTTACATCATCTTTTTTATGATGAGAGTGCCTGCCTGGTCTTTTGTTCTCGCCCTACTTTTACGTTTAATCGCAGTCGCAAACATGGATGAGGAGAGAACTCCACTCCTGTCTGACTACACCAGCGTCAGAGGAGTGACTGAGAAAAAGTCAGTGTAACACATGCAAACACAACATGACTGCCCGTGTAACATTAGCCCAGTGTGTTTCAGCTTAGCTGCCAACCAGCCATGCCTGAGTTTCACTTCTCGGTCTTTGGAGACAAACCTACAGTGATGCAAAACTTCAACTGACTGAAAAGTCCACCCTAAAGAAAACTTGAATGTCACAATAGATCAACCTTAATATATCTCTGGCCTGTAATTCCAAAGTGCTATGGAAGAAATTTATGCAAAAAATTAAAATATAGTGTGCATCTCCTACAAAAAAATATAAAACAGAAAATGAGAGGAGTTTGCACTTCTTTTTTTTTAAAGAAAAGAATAATATAATAACTGTTCTTGTAATTGTTTTAAAATAAACTAATGAACAACTAAATGGTATGAAAAGTATCCAAGACACAGAAAAACCACAACCACATCCTTTTATCCAGATCTGGTTTCCTCTTTGGATGCAGGAGATGGAGGCAGGCATCTGTTGCCGTGGAGATGTGAAACACAGGTCGCTCGGCAACACCGCATCATGCACAAGTCGGAGCCACTCCTCCTGTATTTTACACGTAACCTCCTAACCTCTGCAGCTTTGTGTTCAGAGGAGAAAACTGGAGCTCAACTCCAAAAAAGAAATGTATTAGTTGTGCACAGCACCCCGAAGATGCCCCAGAACCTAACCTAATTTTTTATCTATCATCAGTCAGTTCAGACAGAACAACAGAGTCAAACCAGCTGATCTGTCTAAACATATGCATTATCATGACAGAGGGAAACTGTAGCATTAAATGAATACTGGATAAAAGCACAATAAACTATCTGTAACATCTCTTACCTTTGTTCTTGATTTGACTTTTGATTTAACCTTTTGTCGTCTTTTCAGTTTCTTCTTACTCAAGGCCTTCTTTCCCCTGAAGGTACAAAACAAACAGAAATGTAAAAAGAAACACATTTATGTAACATGTAAAAGACTTTGCCCACAATTTACAGTATGGAGGTTCAAACCATAGTAATTGGAGCCTAATATCAAACATAAACTCTGCTACAGTAACAGTACCAATGTGTCTTTTAGCTTGTGGTGGCGCTAAAGCCACTCTCTCAATTTGCTGCTCCAGGATTCGCAAAAGAGACAACACTAAAGTCTGGAAACGTTTGTAGGTGTTCTCAATTTCATCACAAGAGTCACATGTCTGTGTATCTGTTTAGCATGGCTTTGGGCATGTTTAAAAATAATAGAAAATCTTAAAGACAAATGGATTAATAGTGGCCAAGTTATCACAGGCATCTGGAACCTGTGTTGAATCCACCTATTTTAATTACTGTGATTTCTCCAAGCTATATGTTTTGTCAAGTGAAACCTATTTGTATTTGCATACATTTTTACACTTGCACAGTAAGATGAGCAAAGTATGAAAAAAGATTTATTTAAATGAATAAGAGCTGCATCACTGCAAATAGAGGTGAAATGCAATGAAATGTTTAATAATTAAAGTTCAGCCGTTTTTATTTTTCATTATAAAATTGCTGTAAATTATCACAGTAAATAAAAACCAACTAGTTTGAATTTAATTATTTTCCCCACCCTACATCAACAATAATATAAACCTACCTGTCTATAGCAAAGATACAAAAGTAATATACAGTTGCTACAACATTGAGTTAGCCTGATTTATCATAAACTTGGAAGTATTAGACTAATTAAGATTATGCTACATGAGAAAACAAAAATATTTGCATTTTTATAAATGAGGTAATAAACTTAGTTAGTATATTGTTTATTATATAATGATCCACGAGTACTTGCAAGCAATAGTACACAGGGCTGAAAGGGTGGAGAACAGCAAGTCAGAGGGAGGCTGCAGCATCAAAACTAATCAGTCTACACAACCTGACTGAATACAGTGACGTAACTGCATTAGCCGCCTGACTGAAAACCCAACACGTCCTAACCCAAACATTTAACACCATTATTACTTTTTTAATAACCGTTGTACTGTTATAGTTGGTCTTTGTTAGTCCCATGATTTTTGAGAACTGACAATAAAATCACCGGGAAAAGGAGCTGATGTTCAACGTGTTAGCTAGCGATGACGCCGCTGGGCCTAAAAAATACAAACACGACTATATAAAACGACGTCAACATGGCGTACAATATGCCATTATGCAAAGAAGTTCGGGTTTATGACGGGTGTGCAAGTAGTTTGTATAGCTGGGTGGCACCCAGTACTCAAAAATAAACTGAGAAACTGCTGCGATGACAGCTAGTTTGTTAAGTAGAGTCCGTACACGTTATATTTTCAAACCATTTAAAGCACAAAGAGGAAACTGCTTTATTTTCAGTGCTTTCCTGAGTGTTTAGCCAAGAACGCAATGTCTGGTGTTGTGTCGAAAAAAGCACCCCTACTGCGAAAAGGACCCCTGTCGTGAGAAGCGCTAGGGCGGTTGTTTTTATTAGTAAATTGATACAAATCAAAAGTGACAAATTTGCCTCTGCTTTTCAATGCCATCGTTATTTGTTTATCTAAAATTATTTCTCCATAATATAAATATGTAGATAATCATGACATGTTTCCTTTGGCAAAGTACGCTGCCAGGATGTGTTTCATCAAGCAAAGCCTAAGAGCATATCAAAATTACATAAATGTATTCTTAAGAGCAGTGATAAAAAAAAAACTTCTGTCACTTCTGACTTTCATACTAAACAAAACTCAGAAATACACTAAAGCGATTGCTTTTCACGGCCGGGRTACTTATTTCGACACAACACCTAAGGGTAAAACCACCCTCGCGTTAAAGCTAAGGAAGTCAGAGACAAAATTGCTATCTTAGCAAGCTGAATCCTGGCGCATTTATCAAGTCCCAATGCTTTTTGTTTGTATCTGAAACACTGAACATACTGACATGTCAAATTAAACAATACACAGCGTATCTGGTTTATTTTTKGTGTAAATTAGCTTCACCGTGTTAGCATACGGTCGTTAGCATTGCTAGCCTTTCAAATGACAGAGCAGCTTCTGAWATATTTTTCATATTGACACCCACCTTCCTTGATTTATCCCTTGCTCCTTATCATTGATAGCTGTGGTATAAATCCGTCTGTATCTTTCCGCAAGGGCTCGTCCTGAGAGTAAAAGCTGGTACCGAGTCCGACAGTCCGACTGGGCTCCGGGTGTCGGACAGTAACCCATTCCCGAACCAATGGTGGAGATATCGGCTCCTACTCCAGAAAAGACCCTGACACCCAGCCCCATCGACGGCGATAAGGACGGCAGTATCCCTCCACCGGCGACCGCTGCCGCAGCAGCACACATCATCGTTTCACAGAACAATGCATATATCACACAGAAGACAACACAGCCAGATAATATCTAGCCATTAGATGCAGTCCGCATGTGTTAAAATCCGCCACATGTCACATCATTTGTCCGCTCTGAGCTGCAAAAACGCCACAATTAGCATCCACGGTTCTCGGTTATTACAAACGCTAATTGTAGCCTTTCTGCTTGGTGCTGCTAAGGGCTTCCGATCGGATCCAACAAGGCGGTGTTTCTCTTCGCTCCAGGAATTCGACGTAGTCAAACCACAAGAAAAAATCGCACAGAGCAGCAGAAGATACGCTTCTCGTGACCAAAACTGTCGTATTTCGGTTTCATTCGTTCCTTGAATATTTCTTGACCCCGAAGAGGCAGCACCCTCAGCAGAGCTGCCATCTTAGCTCCATCATCCCTCTCTCCCCTCCCAAACCGAGTCTTGCGTCGCTACCATGCCGGGGAAATTGTCATACGACTGAACCATGCAGTAACATGCATTTATCAATTCAATTCAAGTTTAGGCCTTTCTGGTGTGAAGGTAATTTTTAAAAATGCATTGTTTCAGACATTATTATGCAGAGTTGTAATCTGGGCGTTTAATTTGCAGAATCAATACCAGCAAAACACATTCAGCTGAAGTTCAAGAAATCAAGGAGTTATTTCAGCAAAAGACACAACAATAATAACATGTAATATAAGTGCAATTTAAAGGTACAACAGTACCCAAAAGATAAAGCACTTAGTAAAACAATATAACCACAAAAACATGGGGGTACAAAGGAACAGTATGAAACTCATGGTGGCTCTTAGGCTACTACTAAATTTGACAGAAAACCAAATTCCAACACGGGGTCACATAAATGCAAAATGAAATCATTAACCTCAAAACTGGGCCAAAGTGATTTCAAATTAAATGATTGGACATGGATGCCAAAATGACACAAAGTTCTTTAGTAACACRTGCTGGGGACATAAAATGTAAATGCAAAATTTTGAATTAGCATTGGCAGATTTTTTGTCTAAAATGTCCATAAAATAAACATATTTGAAAACAAATTGAATTTAGGTAAATAAAATCATATATCAATTGCAATCCATTTCATTACAACAATAAATGCAGTTAAGACTTGTTCTTGCACAAGGTTGATTAGATATTGCATGCTTACTAATACATTTTGATGCAAATATAGGTCACATCCATGAGGCCCAATGTGTGTGAAGATCATACTGGATCTTCATATTTTGTTATAAAAAGGTGGCATAAATGYATACAAATRAATTTGCTTTAATRCTGAATGAGACACACTCCACAGAAACATGGTGGAGGGGTTTGAGTAATAAAWGTGATCTTGGAGGCTATGCTGGGGCATCAGCCCCTGATAGAGTCTCCCATGGCAAGCAGGCCTCCTGTGAAGGGTCAGAATAAGTGCAATTAAAAAACTTGATGGAAACAACAGTGCGTGTATCAAGAAACCTCACCCAGAAAAAGGAAAACCAGGGCACCTCCCTGGAGCCAGGCCTAAGAAGGAGCTCACCAGCAAGCATCTGGTGAACTTTGGATCCTGGAGCTCAGCCTGGCCAAGAACGAAACAGAGCCAGGATTCCCCCTTCAAGTGGGCCCATCACCTGCAGGGATTATATCGATTCCTGGTGCCAYAAACGTTTTAGTGACATGGAATATCACCTTATTGGTGGGTAAGGAGCCTAAGCTTGTGTGTCAGGTTGAGCAACACCAACCAATTCCTGGAGAGACTCCATCAGGGTTGTGCCTTGTCTCAGATTTAGTTTGTGCATGTCTAAACGGGATTTAAAGGCATAGTCATGGAGAGGGTTGACTGATTTGGAAAYCTCAGGGTCCCATTTCTGCTTTGTGCAAATGATGTGGTTCTGTTGGGGTCTTTGGGTCATGACCTTCATGCACTGTGGTAGATTGCAGCTGAGCAGGAAGCCTTGTCCTCAGTAATGAGGGCATTATTTTGGYCAGTCACAGTGAGGAAAGAGTTGAGTCAAAAGCTCATAATTTACTGGTCTGTACATTCAAACACTCACTTATGGTCATGATGTATGGAATCACGACTAAAAGAGGAGGAGCCCAAATTTTGGCAGCCAAAATGGTCTTCTTTAGAAGGGTGGCCAAGCTCACYAAGAGATCAGTCATCTGGGGAAGGCACGGACTAGAGCTGCTGCTCCTTCACATTGAATGGAGTAGACTGAGATGGTCTGGTCATCTGATTAGGACGTCTCCTAAAGAAGTGTTTTGGGCCTGTTCCATTGAGAAGAGACCATGGGGCAGACCCAGAAATTTCTAGAGGGACTGTGTATCTTCTCTGGCCTGGAAATGCCTTGGGTTCCCCAGGTGGAGCTGGAAAGTGTCACTGGGGAGAGGGACATTTGGATTTTTCTCCTTGACCTGACTAAGACCTCCTGACTGAATAAGCGGTAGAAGATGGAAAAGGAGAGGATGAACTAAAGTGACTCAGAGACTTTTAAAGACTCTTAAAGGGGGTTACATACACATATAGTACACTATAAAATGCAAATTAGTAAAACTTCTCAACTTAATGCTRCGTTCACACCGAACCCATTTTGAGCAGAAAAAATGTGCCCAACGCCTCAAGTTGGATGCGCAACGTTTAGACTGGGACAGACGCGCGTCTGAAGAGGGAGGAGCATCTTGGTTTTTTTCCGGTCTGTCTTCAACTGATGAAATAAAAATAAAATAAAGAAAATAGCTTTGCTTTATTTACTAAAGAGCAAGCGAATGTTGCACATAGCAGATAATTAATTCACCGGATAATTTAGAGGCAGTTTGTTCGGTTAGTTTCACCACTCCAGGAGCTGCAAGCTGACAAACTATTTTTTTGTCCTGAGCCCAGTTTAACACCGTGGTCACCAAGCTGCTGACCCACATCGGTGCTGATATGTCCATATGGTGGCAAAATACTGCCAGAACTCTCGCAAGAAAAAAACGAGATCTCACGCGTGCAAATTTAAATCCTGTGCGTGCTTTTAAATATCCATGCAAGAGGGGATTCAGCTCCAGCCAGAACACCAACTGCAGACGGTCGATTTCAGAACTCCTGTCCATCTGTTTCAGTTTAGTGGGCAACATTCAGGAAACCGTCACGTGGAAAAATGAGTCTCTCTGATTGGTTGCTGCGGCGCGTCGAGCAGCAAAAGTTCAGATTTTTGAACTCGAGCATCGGCTGCTTTCGCTGCACCGCAWGCACGGAAAATGCTTTACCACTACCTTCCGCTTCCTTGCGCGCTAAACGTACTTCACACGCCGCGAGACCCTTAGAGGCGCRTCCACCATATACTTTGCATGTAAACCGGCCTCTCCTGCAGCTCAAAACGTGTTAAGCCAGTATATTGTGTTGAATCTTCCCTTTGTTGCAACTCCTAAACAAGCACGTTAGCAACAGTGTAATGGAAGAACTCCATTTTAACAGGAAAAAACCTCCAGCAGAGCCAGGCTCAAGATGAGCGGCCATCCACCACAACTGGATGAGGTTTAAGAAAAGATAGAGACACAGGTACAATAATGTTTAATCATGGAGAGTAGCGCGAGTAAAGACATCAACAGTGAAGAAGTGTGGTCAGTTTGTGTTCAGTCTGCGACTATAGCAGCAGAACTAAGAGATAACTCAGAAAACTCAAGACATCCTTGACTAAAAGAATTTATCTAAAGTCTTTAGCCTAGTTTTGATAGAAGACAGAATGTCAGCTTATGGACAGAAACTGGGAATTAGTTCCACAAGTACTTTTAGAAACTCTAAGAATCACAAGTAAATTTACAGTCTGACAGCAAGATGCTCTGTTAGTAAAATTCASAACAATAAAACCTTTAATAAGATGGAGCATGGTTGTTGAGAGCTTTGTATGTTAGAAGTAGGAAAACTGAAGACAGATGATCTCTTCTACGTATTCTTGTCAGAACTCCAGCAGCAGTGTTTTGGATCAACAGAAAGACCTATTAAAGATTATTATATTATTTTTAGACACACAAACAATAAAGAAAGACAACAGTCCAATGCATGGACTGGTTTTTCTGTATAATTTGGGAAAGAGATGTTTCCAATTTAAGTAAAATTTTGCAAGTGGAAGAAAGTGGTCCTGRTAATATTTTTTTGTGTGTGAGTTACGTCAAACTTCACATCAAGGTTYTTCTGGAGGTCAAAATATTGTCATCCCAATGATATAAGACAGATTGTACTATTTTTTTCATTGCAACCTAGTAATCTATTAGAAATTATTTTTTATCATTGACAATGTGTCAGTGACGATAACATTTAAAGATTGTTTTCATGTGAGGAAGAAGTAAAAACCAGCTCAGTTGATATGTATTCTTATTGCAGTCTTTAAAATAAAAGGTTGGATGTCCAACCATCCAGAAGCAGCACTTTTAAACCTTGATTGTTTCACTTTGGTTCAGTTGTGCAGCAACTAAATGGGGGAGGGGTTGGGTATATAGGCCAAGATGATGCCACAAATCAGGCAACAAGGACGGATAGACCAGGCAGGGATGAAACCCAGTTATTATGCACACAAGGGCCGGAAACACTGAAAAACTGTGATGTCCATCACGTGCAGCAYTGCTGTCATTGCCATCACATGTCCTCACATCTTCAAATGTGTTTCAGCTCAAGATCATTCAAGACAAGTTGTTGATTAAATTGTATGTGGAACATCTAAGATTTTAWTGTGTCCAAAGTATTAAAAAATATCCAAATGTTGTGGCTGGAAGTAATAAGGTTTGAGGAAACGATTTCTATAAAAGAGGTTTTAAAACTTTTAATTGAGTAGAGGAAAAAAAACTTCTGCAATACCCTGTACAGCAAGATTATACTACAGCACTCAGTGCTTTCAGTAATCAGCTTTCTCCAACACCCAGAAATCAATAGAGCAGCCTGCCTGATGATAAAGCACCACAGTTTCCTCAGCACTTTTTAAAGCATCCCGAAAAGACAGAAAATGGCTGTTTGAACCTGGCTTTTTTAATTTGAAATGTGGAATTTCACTTTAGTATTGAGCATCCAGATCAGTTTTGAATTGTGTGTTGTTACTTTGGACTTATTGCTACTGTATCATCTTTAAAAAAAAAATCTGCACACAGCTGAGATGAGCACTTTTTGAGATATTCACATGCACAGTAACAGGAAGTGATGACAAAAGGGAACACATGCAGGTAAACAGAGCTACAATGGCTAACAATACAGACAGTAGCAAATAATCTGATGTTTCTTTAGATTATTTAAATTCACTATCAGAGAAAAMGGAAGAATAATCAGAGTTCAAAAGTTTTGTTTCAGTAAATAAAGACTATAGAGTTCCTCTAACTGTTTCACTTTGGCCATTCCAAGTTGAAAAATATGTGTCAAAATGTATAAAATTGTGTGTATTGTGAAAAAATTCTTA